TAAATCAACATAAGAGGGTGTAATGGGAGATACACAGAAATCAACTTTTGAGAAGGATCCTTTTGGGGCACGATTTCATCCCTGGGCAGTTTCAGCCTTAGGATCAGTTTCTCAATTACTCTGTTAACCTCAAGGTATTGATAATTATTAGTTCCTTGGCTGGGAATGACTTTGACTCACTTGAAAAGGGGGAATTATGAGTACGGCAAGTCACTAGTTGAAATAGCATTGTTCCTCAGTTAATGGCTAACCGAAATTTTCTGCTTGGTCTTAGTTACCCCAAAGATGGCTGTTCTCTGACTGAGGTCCCTTTTAACTCCCCACTGTCAATCATTTCATCCATTTCTATTAACAAGGGGTGATGAGTGTCATCTAGTTACCTCCTGCTGGGATGGGGCATTAGAAGGGTTAACTTGGAATGGAATTTTATGACATGGTGGGATAGATACTCTTTTGTTCCTCTCTTCATCTCTAGGGTCATAAGGGGTAGCTGTCTTTCCTCAGCCTTTGATCTCCTCCTGCATAGTTTTCTGCATTATGAACAAAAGAACAAGAAATAATATGATTATTGCAAAAGTTGTTCCTCTGAGTTACAAATATAGAAAGTCAGTGGGTAACGAACATCCTAACCATCCAAGAAACTCTCTGCAGGCATTGTCGAATTCCTTTATTAGACCTAGGATATGTTTACTTTAGTCGTCTCCTGTCATGTGGACCTTATGGTAGACCTTATTGACCGTTTGCAAAACTGATTCTAAATCAATATCTAAAAGTCTTAGTTCCTCTTCTGGCCATTCAGTTTCCATGGGAATGACACCTTGAGGAGGGTATAAATTGGTCTGAAGGAACAACTTGTCTTCAGTATCTAAGTTATCATAGGACTTGTTTACAGCAGGCAAACTTATTCTGCCAATGACCTTGGCATTACACCAGTTACCAGTTTCTGTGATGGGAAAAGAAGTTTCTTTACAGAAGATATCAAATAGCTTTACCATGGTATTGTATTGGCCCTCCCAACAAAAACAACCTTTTCTGATATACCAGATGTTCTAGCTCATAGCAGTTGATACTAAAGGCCATTCTTGGGAGAACTCAGAGTTCCAAGTATTTTGAGGGCAGAGCAATTGCCCCTCATGTTTTCACAGTCAGAGAGGGAAATAGGATGCCATGCATTTGAATCAATTAAAATAACCCAGCAACTTCCCATTGGAAAGACTCTGGTGTAATTGACAGTGGTCCTAATGCCTGCTAATTGGACCACTGAGTAGCTTTGGGTTTTATTTAGTCTAGGCACTTGGGCTTTAAGGAAAGAGTACCTAAGGTCACCTGGTTACCACCCAGGAATTTCCATAAGGCAGGGGTCCATAAACCTCCCAAAGGTGTTTAGACTAGATGTTGGCTCTGAGTGTGGTGGGCCATTGTCTCATAGCTATCTCAGATTCTATTTGTATCAGTACGGTCATTAGTCCCTGTTGACTTACGGTGCAAGTCTGTTCCCATCTCTGAGTTTCAAAATAAGTCTGTACGATTTGTTGGTTTTTTCCTACCCATTTGATAAGGGCCTCGCTATCCTTCTGTGCTGTTTCCTAGCCTTTTCCTTCTTCTTGGAATAACGTTTCTTCTATATGTCCTATCTTGGATAAAGAGGTCTTTTGTAGGGAATGTCTTTCTTCAGTGCAGGAAATTCTACCTGTCCCATAATGCCTAGTCCTGTTTCCATTCCCACTAAGAAGTCTCCTTTTAGACTATGTGGGGGCCAGTTCTGGTGTACCTACCATGAATGTTACTGCCAAATTATATTAATAGCCTCAGTGCAATTGGGATATATAGAGTTAACCCAGAATCTCTGGGTGTCCCAAACCATCATCAGGTGGGTGGTTGTCACTCCCAAACAGGCTTTTGTCTGAGTGTTCCATAAAGCCTCCCATCGTTGACCTGGTATAATGGTTGACTTTTCACTGTCAGGTATCACTGCCTGCTGTTTTATTCCTGTAAACCGATTCTTGAGAGTTTCATTACTCTGGGCCATAGGCATCCATCCACAGACACAAGGTTGAGAAGTTTCTGAGCACATTACGCTGTGGCAGGTCATGCATAAAACTGCTATCCTTTTCCCATCATACCTGTCCAAAGTTCTAAGCCTTTCATCATCAGTTTCCATAGTGATGCAATGTTCTCTCTGATTAGAATTCTCTAATAGCCCACCAGTGTCACTGCTGGGCAAATACTCTTGCAATAAGTCATATTTTGTTCGGCATTAAAAGTAAAGGTATCGGGCTGGCCCGTGGCTCACTTGGGAGAGTGCGGTGCTGACAACACCAAGGCCCCGGGTTTGGATCCCATATAGGGATGGCTGGTTAGCTCATCGGGTGAGCATGGTGCTGACAACACCAAGTCAAGGGCTAAGATCCCCTTACCAGTCATCTTTAAAA